CCACATCATTGCATTCAGTTTTTATTCACAATTTGTTTAGTGTCCCAACTTTTTTGGAATCCGGTTTGTACTTTAAGTATGCAAGGCCTTTCTTGGTGGGACAGAAAGGGGGAAAAAACTGAATGCCAGTTCATGATCAAAAATCTGCAAAAATGTGTGATTATTCAAGATAAAATAAGGTAAAATAGAACTTTACAGCTCATATGGACCAAATATAAACCAAATGAAACAGGATGAACTATGTTTTATTGCGTTTACTGAAAACGGTCTGTAGTAACAAACCTTTACACACTGACTGTTTGCCACATACAGTTTTTATGGCCTCAGTTTTTTCTGTTGGATGCACGAGGCAGAAGACAAATCCATTTCTCTGTAGCTTTGTTGTTCAGCTGCTCCACCTCAGCTGTCAATCATTCAAGTTAAAATGAGTAGCATTCCCTGAAGGAATGTGTTCACCCATTTTCATGCATGCCAAAGTTTTCGGCTAAGAACTTGCACAATTTATTCATGCTCAGATAGGTTGGGGTGGCTTCTTGCTACAACCATATAAATTTCATCCTAATAGCCATAAAATACAAGAGTTATAGTCCATTTTGTGCTTGCACGCACACTGATTACACAAACACACCTGTTTTTTTTAATAGACAAAAAAAATGTATATTACAGTTTTAAAAGCTCCAAGATTTACACCTACACCTACAGTCATTTAAAATGAGCTCTTAATCTAAAAGTCAGTGTTTCTCAGCACAGTGTACAGTGTGAGTTTAAAATAAAATGAGGAAATCGCACAAATGAAGGGTAACAGACAACATTTAAAGCAGATTAACAGGAACTGAAAATCATGTCCTGGAGGGGAAAATCCAGCTAAGACCTGATACTAAACCCGACAGAACATGTCTTTTCTGCTGTTACCTCTCGAGGGAATCACCTTATTGTATAAAAATACATTTTCTTCAGTCAAAACTGAATTATTTTGACCTTGATGTTATGCAGCTAAAGGTGTAAGACCAAACTGTCTGTGCTTAAAGATATTATTTACAGACTGTTGAGTTTTTAAAGATTTGCAAATTGTTGTAGTCTCTCTCTGAGATGAGGCTGAGTTCAGCAAACTCACCTGCAGTAAAAATGAAAAGCCAAAAAGAACCAAAAAATGCTGCATCCAGAAATAATAGGAAACTAAAATGGAAAAAATAAACTTGTCTCTTAAATAAGGCACTGATTCTTACAATAAAATGAGATCAAAGTATTCATGCATTCATTCAACCTTTATTTATACAGGTTATCCTCACTGAGCCACAAGGACTCATTTGCAAGAGGGACCTGTCCCAGACAAAACATATACAGTACAGACAACAAAACCGTAGACAGTGACAACAATAAACTACAGTAAAAATGCAGTTAAAATAAGAGTAGTGTACAAAACAATAAATCACGGTGCCGTAAAACAAAGGTGAAATACTAAAAACAAGAACATATTTGCTTTGATTTTTCTATTGACATTATCAAATGTTTGAAGACCCTTAAGAAATCAAGGAGGACAGCTTCAGTTCCTGTTGCAAGGTGTTCCGGGTTGCAGGAGCTGAGTAGGAAAAGGCCTTTTTGCCAAGTTCAGTTCCACTGAGGGAATGCTACATGTAATGATGGCCTGAGAGCGCATGTTGTAACTGCACTGACGGCGTGACGTGGGAGGAGATATAAGAAGGCAGCAGACCAAGGAGTGATTTATAGATGAAAATGAACTAGTGTCAGAGCCTACGTGTATAATGATGACCAACTGACCAAGGAGTACAGAGTACAGTGATGGGTACGGTAGTTACTAGGGGTGCAGAAAATTTTTTGATTTATTAAAGAACCTAGATTCCTAGTCCTGGCGATTCTGAATCGATTTTAAAGGTCCATAAATTGATTTTAAAATGCGTTTTAAGTTTTATATTTTTCCGCTCCTACTCCCGAGCGTACTGCATATTGCATTACGTGTCCGCTCAGCCGCCGTAGAATTAGGCTGTGTAGGCCACCATACAGCAAGCTAGTTAGCCAACTCCTTTACCTGAATGGAGCCTGCTAGCATAGAGCTGGAGGATAGCATGATTCAACCCAGCTCTGATTAATGCACCAGCTTCAGCTCAGAGGTAACCGTTTTTTTCTCATATTATACAAAAACTTAATGTAATTTGTCTTTTTAACAGGTTGTAGAGAGGCCAGATGAGACATATCTCCTGGAGCCATTTCTACAAACCGGATTCCCAAAAAGTTGGGACACTAAACAATTTGTGAATAAAAACTGAATGCAATGATGTGGAGGTGCCAACATCTAATATGTTATTCAGAATAGAACACAAATCACAGATCAAAAGTTTAAACTGAGAGAATGTATCATTTTAAGGGAAAAATCTGTTGTTTCCAAATTTCATGGCGTCAACAAATCCCCAAAAAGTTGGGACAAGTCCATTTTTACCACTGTGTGGCATCCCCCATTTTTCTTACAACACTCAACAGACGTCTGGGAACAGAGGAGACCAGTTTCTCAAGTTTAGAAATAGGAATGCTCTCCCATTCATGTCTAATACAGGCCTCTAACTGTTCAATCGTCTTGGGCCTTCTTTGTCGCACCTTCCTCTTTATGATGCGCCAAATGTTCTCTATAGGTGAAAGATCTGGACTGCAGGCTGGCCATTTCAGTACCCGGATCCTTCTCCTACGTAGCCATGATGTTGTGATTGCTGCAGAATGTGGTCTGGCATTATCGTGTTGAAAAATGCAGGGTCTTCCCTGAAAGAGATGACATCTAGATGGGAGCATATGTTGTTCTAGAACCTGAACATAGTTCTATGCATTAATGATGTCTTTCCAGACATGCAAGCTGCCCATGCCACAAGCGCTCAAGCAACCCCATACCATCAGTGATGCAGGCTTCTGAACGGAGCATTGATAACAACTTGGGTTATCCTTGTCCTTTCTGGTCCGGATGACATGGCGTCCCAGTGTTCCATAAAGAACTTCAAATCGTGATTCATCTGACCACAGAACTGTCTTCCATTTTGCCACACTCCATTTTAAATGACCCCTGGCCCAGTGCAAACATCTGAGCTTGTGGAGCTTGCTTAGAAATGGCTTCCTCTTTGCACTGTAGAGTTTCAGCTGGCAACGGCGGATGGCACAGTGGATTGTGTTCACTGACAATGTTTTCTGGAAGTATTCCTGAGCCCATTCTGTTATTTCCTTGACAGTGGCATTCCTGTTTGAGGTGCAGTGACGTTTAAGGGCCCAGAGATCACGAGCATCCAGTAGAGTTTTACGGCCTTGACCCTTACGCACAGCGATTGTTCCAGATTCTCTGAATCTTTTGATGATGTTATGCACAGTTGATGATGATAACTTAAAAGTATTTGCTATTGTACGCTGGGTAACACCATTCTGGTATTGCTGCACTATCTTTCTGCGCAACAATGGTGGAATTGGTGATCCTCTTACCATCTTGGCTTCTGAGAGACACTGACACTCTGAGAAGCTCTTTTTATACCCAATCATGTTGTCAATTGACCTAATTAGTGTTAATTGGTCTTCCAGCTGTTCGTTATATGCTCAGTTTCCTTTTTCCAGCCACTTATTGCTACTTGTCCCAACTTTTTTGGGATTTGTTGACACTGTGAAATTTTGAATCAACATATTTTTCCTTTAAAATGTTACATTTACTCAGATTAAACTTTTGATCTGTCATCTATGTTATATTACGAATAAAATATTGACATTTGCCATCTCCACATCATTGCATTCAGTTTTTATTCACAATTTGTTTAGTGTCCCA